TATTTACTTGGCTCAAGGCTTTATTTCCTTTCTTCCTTCTACTAATTTTGGATTTTATTTGCTCTTGGTTTTTAGAGCCTTAATGTGTTAAATCACTTATTTGAGCTCTTTCTGTGATTTTGATGCAGGCATTAATTTCCAAACTTCCCTCATATGCTCCCAAGAGCTTAGTCCCTCCCATTATTGCATTAAAGTCTATCAAAATTCTCTTTACACATGTAGGTGCTCTGACATAGGATATAGATATACAGTTTTTATTTTCTCTTGCTGAGTTGAACTCTTTATCATCGTATAATGATGTTCCATCTCTTTTTGTTGTTTTTTATTTGAAATCTATTTTATCTGATACAGAAGTATGGCTATTCCTGCTTTCTTTTGGGTTCTATTTGCATGGAACTTTTTTTTTTTTTTATGTTTTTGACAGGCAGAGTGGACAGTGAGAGAGAGAGAGACAGAGAGAAAGGTCTTCCTTTGCCGTTGGTTCACCCTCCAATGGCCGCTGCGGCCGGCGCACGGCGCTGATCCGAAGACAGAATCCGGCGCAGAGCCGGCCTGCATGGAACATTTTATTCCATCCTTTCAACTTCAGTTTGTGTATGTCCTTAGAGATGAAGTGAGTTTTTTGTAAGCAGCATATAGTTAGGTCTTTTTGAAAATCCACTTGCTCGAGCCAGCGCGAGGCTCACTAGGCTAATCCTCCGCCTTGTGGCGCCGGCACACCGGGTTCTAGTCCCGGTTGGGGCGCCGGATTCTGTCCCGGTTGCCCCTCTTCCAGGCCAGCTCTCTGCTGTGGCCAGGGAGTGCAGTGGAGGATGGCCCAAGTACTTGGGCCCTGCACCCCATGGGAGACCAGGAGAAGCACCTGGCTCCTGCCTTCGGATCAGTGCGGTGCGCCAGCTGCAGCTGATGTGAACAAAAAATTAGATTTTCAACTTTACTTAATAATTCAAATTTAAATATCTTTATGTGGCTAGTGGCTACCATATCAAATAGCATGACATCTAGATCCTCTCTGTTCTTCCCCTGTGAAAGTTATGTTTCTAGTTTCTCACACACAAGGCTTCAGAACTGCAAACTGTTACTTTGTCCTTAGTTTAAAGTGACATTTAGGAAATACCCCATGAAATTTTCTTTGGATTTCCTGTTTAATAAATCACATTTCACCATGTTCTGTGTTCCCTCAATAAATGCTGTTTACAACAGAGTACTCTCATGTCTGTTTTAAGCATTTAAAAAAATTGGTTTACAATGTGATAGGCTTCCTTTTACTGAATAAAAATGTCCTTATAATTATTTACCTTTCCATATTTTTCATGGTTAAAGAGAAAGCTGTCTGGGGATGAGCACTAAAAATTCCCTTTTCCTAGTATAAAAACTAGAGGACTAAGACCTCAAAAAGGGGAGAGGGTATAATATCCTATCTGCTTATCTGCAACCATCCCAAACCCCAGGACAGGGGCCCACGGAGAGAGGCCAGCACTCATGTGTCTGCCCCGGCTTCCCCTTCCTCTGCCTCTCTTCATTCTGCATCCCTGAGACTGACAGGCATCATCTCCCCAAGTACATCACAGCCTTGGCTTAAAGAAAAGCCTAGCGTCCAAGTCCCCCAGCTTCCTATGCCTTAAAGGGAGCTTAAGAAACTGAGAAAACACTTCCTCATTGCAAAGTCTGGTTTTCAACAGTCTTGCTGTAGACTCAAGCATCCTATTTTGGATATCAAACACTTAACATTGATTCTTTCTTTCTGCATTTCTGTGTAATAATCCAAATCCTCCCCAAGGCAAGTAAATGCCCCTGGCAGAATAGAGGGAAAGTCGCACAGGCACTGCAGGCAGACAAGAAAAACGGAAATAGCTCAGATAGATAGACATAGATAGACAGGTGTATAGAGATTCTGTATTAGCCTGTTTATAGGAAGATGGGGAAAAAACAAATTCTTCAATTTTAGGTAAACTAATTTTAGGTCTTGTAATTCTGATGGAGAGATTTTAAGGAATAGAATTGTTTAGAAGAAGCAAGCCTGCAGATAACATACTTTTAAAATGTACCACCTCACTGATATAAATGTATAGCCCTAAGGCTGCATTGAAACACACTCAAGGGACTAGTCCTGCCCACGAATGAGAATGAGAGACTGGCTGTGGCGTGCCCTGAAGCAGAGGGGAGGAGTTCCAAATAGAGGCAGATTGAGAGGACCACAGGGGAAGGAGGGAAGAAAAAGCCAGACGGTGCTGCCCAGCATTTTGGAAACTGTCACACCCAGATGAAAACTATTGGGTTGGCATGCTGGGAAAAATTAAGAGTATTATATAGAGCATTTAGTGGGGAAACAGTTACTGTTTTTAACTTCAGATAATTATAATTAAAAGAACATAGTAATTGTTAAAGAATGTAATAAATATATATATTTGTATGAGTTTCCAATTTGTATGAATTTCCAAAATCAACTGTTTTGAATTTTCAAAATGAGATACATGAGCTTAGTTTTTTTTTTAAAGATTTATTTATTTATTTGAAAGTCAGAGTTACAGAGAGAGAAGGAGAGGCAGAGAGAGAGAGAGAGAGAGAGAGATCGATCTTCCATCCGCCAGTTCACTCCCCAGATGGCCACAATGGCCAGAGCCAGGAGCTTCTGATCTGAAGCCAGGAGCGAGGAGCTTCTTCCGGGTCTCCTACGCGGGTGCGAGGGCCCAAGGACTTGGGCCATCTTCTACCGCTTTCCCAGGCCATAGCAAAGAGCTGGATTGGAAGTGGAGCAGCCGAGTCGAACCGGCACCCATATGGGATGCCAACATGGTAGGCAGCGGCTTAACCCACTACACCACAGAACCGGCCTCTAAGCTTACTTTTAAGAATCTATCCTTTGGGGGGCGGCACCGTGATGTAGCAGGTAAAGCATCAGCCTGTAAGCGCTGGCATTCCATATGGACGCTGGTTTGAAACCCAGCTGCTCCACTTCCGATCCAGCTCCCTGCTAATCACCTGGGAAAGCAGTGGAGAATGGCCCAAGTCCTGGGGCTCCTGCATTCATGTAGGAGACCTGGAGGAAGCTTCTGGCTTCAGATTTGCCTGCTCCAGCCATTGCTGCCATTTGGGGATCAAACCAGCTGATACAAGGTCTCTCTTTGTCTCTCTCCACTCTCTCTCTCTGCAACTCTGCCTTTCGAATAAAATAAATAAATCTTTATAAAAATATATTTTTAGTGTCAACTTTTATACCAAGTTATGCCAATGATGTTAAAAAGGCCAACTTTTAAAGGATGAGCTCTTCAAATTCTTGAAAGTTGTCATCAATTAAATGACTTTTAAATGAGAAACTTTTAGCATGTTAAACAAAACCTTGCACAAAAACATGCTAAAGAATTTAAAGTCTCTTTTACGTCTATCAAAAATATACAACAGGGACCAGCACTGGAGTAGGTTAAGCCTTTGCTTGCAGTGCCAGCATTCCATATGGGTGCAGGTTTGAGTCCCAGATACTCCACTTCCAATCCAGCTCCCCACTAATACACCTGGGAAAGCAGAAGATGTCCCAAGTGCTTGGGCCCCTGAACCCACGTGGGAGACCCAGAAGAAGCCCCAGCCGTTGCAACCATTTAGGGAGTGAACTAGTGGATGGAAGATCTCTCTCCTTCTCTCTGCATCTCTGCTTTAAAAAAAAAAAAAAAAGACTTCTATTTTATTTATTTATTTTTGACAGGCAGAGTTAGACAGTGAGAGAGAGACAGAGAGAAAGGTCTTCCTTTTTCCATTGGTTCACCCCCCAAATGGCCGCTACGGCCGGCGCGCTGCAGCCGGCCCGAAGCCAGGAACCAGGTGCCAGGTGCTTCCTCCTGGTCTCCCATGTGAGTGCCAGGGCCCAACCACTTGGGCCATCCTCCACTGCCCTCCTGGGCCACAGCAGAGAGCTGGACTGGAAGAGGAGCAACTGGGACTAGAACCTGGGGTGCTGGCACCGCAGGCAGAGGATTAGCCTAGTGAGCCACGGCGCCAGCCAGCATCTCCGCTTTTCAAATATGTAAATCTTCTTTAAAAAGGTACAACAGTTGAAATATTTAAAGACTCTGAATTATTTGCATTCCTGTTGATTAACATTTAATTATCCTGTGATAACATGATGGATTTCTATTTCTTTTTAAGATTTATTTTTTTATTTGAAAGGCGAGAGAGAGAGAGAGAGAGAGAGAGACTGATTGATTCTATCTGCTAGTTCACTCCCCAAATGGCTGCAACTGATGGGGCTGGCCCAAAGGTAAAGCCAAAGGTTTGGAATTCCATCCAGGACTCCCACGAGGGTAGCAGGGGCCCACGTACTCAGGCCATCATCTACTGCTTCCTGTGTGCATTAGCAAAGAGATGAGTTAGAAGCAGAGCAGCCAGGGCTGGAACCAGCGCTCCCATGGGAAGCTGGCATCACAAGCAGTGACTTAACATGATGCACCCCAACAGCGGCCCCAGATTCCTAGTTCAATAGGACCTTTCCATATATAGAATTTCAAACGAACGATGGAGTTCTTAACTCACAAAACATGCATGTGTTGCTAAGGCAATTATCTAGCAGCTACTTCAGAGCCCACGACAAGGACCAACCGGACACAAAATGGGCCTATGTGTCTGCAATAGGAAGGCACTTCCAAAAAGGCCATGGTTCTCGGAGACTCTGCTGAGCTTCAGCTGCCTCAGCTGCGCCAAGGCCTCACCAAGCACACTGCAGACAATGATGAATACCTGAGTTTCTCTCTAGCCCTCCCACCTCCCAGAGGACCCCGACCTGGGGAGGACACCTGCTCACTGCTTAGCCAGCAGCCCCACCCACCCCAACCCCTCTTGCTAACAGCATGCCGATTTTCCCTTGCGAGAACTCCAATCTTGCTGGTGAAGCCCGTGTGTCGGGTGGGGTGGGGTGGGATTGCCCCTCATCCACAGCTCCAGGGGAGGCCCTGGTTGGCCCCAGTGGTGGTTTCAGGGGTGGGTAGTAACCACAGCTTAAGCCTTTGCTGGGCCACAGGATGGTGAACAGAGGGAAGATGCCAGACCTTGATTTTGCGTTTGAGGCACGGACATCCTCCCACTCTCTCTCTACAAGACTGAGGAAGCAAGCCACCCTGAGGGCAGTTGGCAGTCACCTTGCAACCAAGAGAGAAGCCAGCCTTGGAATAAATCTGACAACACTGGAGGCAGAGCAAGGAGAGAGAAAAGAAACCCAATCCTTGGTGAGTGATGTCACCGCCTTGCTTCAGGGTTGTCCTGTTAGGCGAATCAATGTTTCCCTATTGCTTGGAACAGTTTGCAACAGTTCATGTTGAAACAGAAGTATTCCTTGCTGATTAAGGGCGGCAGGAAGCTGTAGAACTAAAGACAAAGCACGCCCAGGAATCCAGCCTGGATTCAGCAGCCTCCGGCCCTGGGAGGACCGCTCCAGACAGGAGCAGGTCATCCAACCCGAGGAGCTTAACAGCTACTTGCCTGGGACCCCGGCAGCTCTGGAGGCTGCCCAGGGCCCGTGGCATGCCAAGTTGGCCAAGAGGGACTGGCTGACTCCAGACACAGCCTGATGGGCTGCTTTATCCTATCATTACATTTCTATTTTCTTGTTTGCAATTAGAAGCATTTACTTTTAATTTAGATAATTTTCCTTCTTTTCTCTTGTCTGCCTTCAGAACAGATCTGCATGGTGGGGCTGCTTTCCAAAGGGCCCTTGATTCCCGTGTTCATTGGTTGGAGCATTTGCTGTATTTGCAGCCAAGAGGCCTCGGGCCCTGGATCATTATGTTCCTCTGTTTTCCCCGTTCAAGTGCTCGGTGAAAACCCGTAATGAAAGCAGACAGGCAGAGCTCTCAGGCATTCTTCTGAAGGTCGGGCCCTTCCCTCCTGCACCCCTACTATGGACCCGGCATCTCCTAAAGAGAATGCTGTCCTTTGGGGGAGCCCTTACGAAAGCTCTCACCACACACAGAACAGCAAATCCATCAGGGCAAAGGGATTTGCCTTTGGGAGTCTTCCAACAGCTCAACAGCAACAAAACACAATCTGGCCATGTAACTTGCAGAACACAGCAAGACACAGACTTTCCCAGTGCTTGCAAACCTCATGGAAGTGTGCACAAGAGCTGGGGCAGACAGGATATGCTTCCGTTTAAGTCAGCAGGAAGGGAGAGTTGATGGCAATGAGGGCTTTGATCCCCTTATAAGTTTTTTCCTTAGCTGTTCTACTTGTGGGAAAGTCCTTCCCTTGAATCACTAACACTTCTTACAGGTCTTGGCTTACACCTGTAAGACTCACACACACTGGGGAATGGTGGACAACTCAGTTCTGTACACACAAGAAACACCTGGGCAGTGAGGGCGCACAGAAAAGTTCCTGACGTCTCTGCTTAATGCCACGGACATTGTTTCCCAGGAGGTTGTTTCAAAAGCAAGTAGGGGCCAGCATCTGGCCTGCCTGTTAAGGCACCTGTTAGGATGCCTATGTCCCGTGTGGAAAGGCCTGAGTTCGATTCCTGGCTCTGGCTCCTGACTCCACTTTTCTGTTAGTGCACGTCCTGGGAGGCAGCCGTGATGACTCAAGTTACTGAGTTCCTGCCATTTACATGGGAAACCTGGACTGAGTTACCAACTCCCTGCTTCAGCCTTGCCTGGCCAGCCCAGCCCCAGACAATAGTAGGTATTTGGGGGGTGATCCAGCAACTGAGAGCTGCTCTGTGTGTGTGTGTATGTGTGTATTCCCTCTCCATCTTGCAAATAAAAACTTAAACGCAGGGGCAGATCCTTGGCCAGGCAGTCTGGACCAGCATTCAGTGTTTGGATTTGACTCCCAGCCCTGATCCTGATTCTAACTTCTTGCTAATGCACACCCTGAGAGGCACAGGTGATGGTTCAAGCACCTGGGTCCCTTAGGCTAACATGGAAGACCTGAATGGAGTTCCCAGTTCCCAGCACGGCTTTTGAAGGCATCGAGGGAGTGAACCAGTGGAGGGAGCTCTGTCTGTCCATCTCTGTCTCCCAAGTAGGTAAAAAGCAAGCAAAATTAGCTTGATTCCAACCTTCAAAAAAGCAAAGCACTGCCTCATGGTGGAATTGTCTTCATCCTAATCATCCTACCTTTAAAGACAGAAGCATGAGCCAGGGCTGCACCCACACCCCCGCCCGCTCCCAGCTGTTGCCATGGCTCGCTCAGACCAGCAGCCGCCTGGAGCCGGCGCGGAAATGGAGAGCACGCTGGGTCAGTCCAAAATATCGCCTGGGATAATGAGCAGAGGCCCGAGAATTCTGAAAGGCAAAAGGCCCTCTCCTTTGTGAGGCTGCCCTCAGCTGAAAGCAGACAAGAAAGGGAAGGAGAAAATAGAACAGACTTTGTCTTATTAACCTGGCACACACGCCTGGCGAGTGGGGGCTTAGCCGGCCAATTGCAAGGGTCTCGATGGGAGATTCAGAACTCCACAAGTGGCTGTCACTATGGAAACGCTGCAAAGGAACCCCAAGAATGAAGGCCCTGGGCCTGGGGAAAATGTCGGAGGAGGATGGATGGTGCTCTGAAGATGCTGTAGTCTGAAGGCTGTGCCGGGGAGGAGGAGAAATGGATGCAGCCAATGTTGCTGCCTCCTGAAATGGACACTTGACACCAGCCCCCAGGGTACCAGGATTTAGAAAGAACAATGTTCTGTGTCCCGCCTGGCTGGGGTACCCGGGCTGCAGACTCTCGGCTGGCTCCAGGGCACAGCTGGCCCGGGGCCTGCTGCCCAGGGGGCCTCGGAAGAGCGTCAGCCTTGCAAGGCCCAGGGCGCCAGGGCTGGAAACCTCGGGTGAAATGAAGAGGAGCAAAATGCATCTGGGATAGGAAATGAAACAGGGGCTGGGACGAGCTCAAAGCTGTGGGCAGCTAAATATAGGCCTGGATTTTCTCTCAGGAAGTGATCCCATTCAAGGTCATATTTTGACAGAGAAATGCCCCAGAAGAACCTCATTTGCGAGATAAGGCCGGAGTGCAGCTCAGGGTCCTGCCCCGAGGCTGAGGCTGGGAACCCAGGATTGGACTTGATGGCATCGGCTGTCCCTTCCAGCCCTGTGATTCCACGGTAATTGGCTGGCGGGTGTAGTGATTTTCCAATACACCCGTGATTATGAGACGCTCTTTAAATGCACCGTGTAGACATTCTAAATAGCACGTTTGTCGACAATTACCCGGCCGGGAGATTACACAAACACAATACCTCACACAGAAGCAGGGTTCTCTTACAACATCCGGGGGCAGAAAAGGCAGCTGCAGGCAGCGCGCCCACCACGAGGCCCTCGGCTTTTTAAGGAGGTGTCAATGTCCTGTCTGTGCCTTTACTGGACGCACAGTTTTGGTTCCATGCTTGGGGCCATCACAGCAATAGAAATGAGAAGAACCAGAACAGCAGCGCCAACGATTATGTCAGACAACAACTACTGGGTCCCAGGCATCATTCGAAATGCTTTCTCGTGTACCCAGCACCCCTCTGATCCTCACAGCCACTCCTGGAGGAATCACTATTTTCCAGATTCTCTGGTTAAAGAAATCATCCGCAGCCTTACACTCTGGCTGGGTTTGCAGTACACTCACTTGATTCTGAAAAACGCATCCCCAGAGAGGTCTTCCCCCACCGTGGGACAGTGATGGACCATTCTCTCTGCCTTCTGGGCAGCACGGGACCTCTCAGAAAGGGGCATTGGCTGGACACAGGTCCCAGGAATGGAGGAAGTGGGCCTTCACATCCCACAGGAGGAGGGATTAGAGAAGCCAGCTGACGTCATTCACAGATATTGTCCTCGGCTCTCCTTCCAACTCAAAGTATTAGCCATGTGAGTTTTTTCATAATATGAGGGAGAGTCATAGAAAAATAGCAAGCTTACAGGTGAAGGATGAAAAAAGGATGAGGGTTACAGCAAAGCTGTCCAGGCACCTTGTGAGATCCCAAGAACAGAATGTATTTTCTGATGCTTGGGAAGCTTGCTCTCTGTGTTAGTCTGTTCCAGCTGCTATCACAAATATCTTAGATTGGGTAAGGTGCTGGGAGTCTGTTTCGAAGAGTATGCCTTCTCTCGCCATGTCCGCACACGGCAGAAGGAGAAGCAATAGACCTAGCTTGTGCCTCTTTGATATGAACGTGAATCCTGGGTTAGTGCTGTGGCACAGCAGGTTAAGCCACCACCTGTGATGCCAGCATTTCATGTTGGAATGATGGTTCATGTCCCCACTGTTCTGTTTCCCATCCAGCTCCCTGTTAATACACCTGGGAAAGCAGAAGATGGCCCAAGTACTAGGACCACTGCCACCCACATGGGAGACCCAGATGGAGTTTCTGGCTCCTGGCTTCAGCCTGGCCATAGTAGCCCTTTGAGAGAATCAGTTAATGGAAAAATCTCAATCTCTCTCTCTCTGTCTCTCTCATCTATTCCTACCTGTCACTTTGTCTTTCCAATAAATAAATCTTCAGGAAAAAAAAAGGGGGGGGGGGCGTTGCTGTGGCACAGTGGGTTAACACCCTGGCCTGAAGCACTGGCATCCCATATGGGCGCCGGTTCTAGTCCCGGCTGCTCCTCTTCTGATCCAGCTCTCTCTCTCTGCTATGGCTTGGGATAGCAGTAGAAGATGGCCCAACTCCTTGGGCCCTTGCACCCACGTGGGAGACCCGGAAGAAGCTCCTGGTTCCTGGCTTCTGATCAGCACAACTCCAGCCATTGCAGCCATCCGGGGAGTGAACCAGTGGATGGAAGACCTCTCTCTCTGTCTCTACCTCTCTCTGTAACTCTGTCTTTCAAATAAATAAAATAAATCTTAAAAAAAAAAAAAAAAGAACGTGTATTGTCTTAAAAAATAAAAAAAACACTAATCCAGTACCTACAAGAATTCAAGTGCCAGTAGTTTGTTTAGGAGGTAAAACACCAAAGAGTGGAGCAGGGAGACAGGAAGAAGAAGGAAGCCAGCAGTGTGTTATCAAAAAAGGGACAACTGTGTACAGCAGGACTCAATCCCACCTGGAACTCAGAGACCACATAGAAGAGGGGCATCAAATTTTTCTGAAAAGGCCAGATAATATCTGTCCCTGTTACAAATACCAGCTCTGACATAGGAATTTGCAAACAGTCATGGATGACACATAAACAAATGAGCATGGCTGTGTGCCAATGATAACTTATTTCCGAAATGGGGTGATAGCTGGACTTGGATCCTGGGTCATAGTTTGCCGGGCCTTGATGTAGAATAACCAAAGGTGAGAAGCCGCTGACTCTGGTCTGGCTGTCATTGGTTGAAGACTTCTGGGTGTGTTCATCCTCCAGCACTTCGAGCCAGCCCCCTGGGCAGAGCCCCGGGTGTTCACAATAAGCCTGTAGCTGTACATTCCAGGGCCACTGCAGCTGGCACCTGCAGTTTCAGCCACCAAGCACACCGGGGTTTGGGCTGGGGCTGACAGTTTTGCTCTGCACCTCCCCATGACCCTTGCTGAATGCCTGAGATGCCCAGGCTGTCGGGCCCTGCCGGGTTCCCTTCCATGCAAAGCCTGGCTTCCATCTGTGGTGACTCAGCGGCTCAGCTACGGGACTTAAGCAGAAGGGAGGGATGGAGCTCAGCCACGTTCTCAGGAACTCAGCATCACGCATCCTCCTGCCGGCCCAGCCCAGACTTTGGCCCCTCCTCTGATGACCAGGTTCCACCGTAACTTGCGCCTTCAGTGCCTGTCATGGCAAACTGGTCCGTTCTTGCCAGGTCAGCGGGTTAACTGGAGGGCTGAGGAGCCAGATTGCCTTGCTTTGAAGTCCAGCTCCACCAGTTACTAGCAAATGGCTTAATCTCTCTGAGCCCCAGTATTTTCATTTATAAAACAAGGATCACAATATCAATCTCAAAGCATTAAAGTGAAGATTAAGCAACCAATTGGTGAAAGCCACGCAATGGAACAAAGTGGTGGCTCCCACCCTCCTGGCACACGTTGGCAGTTACAAGTGCCACGTTTTGCTATTGAGGCTAGATGCACTGAGCCTTGAAACCATTCCGACTTCCAGGTCTCCAGGAAGTTCCCACCAATGAATCAGTTGATGTATTTGCTGCCCTTGGCTTCAAAGAGATATGTAACAAACTCATAGACTCATTCAATGAGTGAAGTTTTTAGTGTTTTACTTTTATTTGTAAATTGATGTGTGTGTAGTTCTCTATTAGATGCTAGAGATATAGTGGTAAAAACATGCATGGTACTGGCCTCTTATGAGCATAGATGGTAATCAAATAGTCACACTCAGAGTGGGTGTAAGGAGACCAGTTGAACTAGGTGAGAGAGATCAGATAAACTTCATTCAAACATGGGTTATGCTACAGTTGGCTATGACTTCAGTGTTAACACAGCAACAATATATTTTACATATGATGTATTTAAACAGAAACATACATGAAACAAGAGGATGTATTAACCAAAATGTTGCAATGAGGGGCAGGTATTGTGGGACACTGGGGAAGGCCACCACTTGGGAACCTGCCTCCAAAGTCGGAGTGCCAGTTGGAGTCCCAGACGCCCTGCTGCCCACACACCTACCTCATCAGGCTCCTGGAAGGCAGAAGAAGACAGTCCAAGTACTTAGGTCCCTACCACCCATGTGAGAGATGTGGATGGAATTCCTGGCTGCTGACTTGGGCATAGACCAGACCTGGGTTTTGTGGCCATTTAGGGGAGTGAACCAGCAGATGGAAAATCTCTGTCTCTCCCTCTCTGTCACTCTGCCTTTCAAATAAATAAAACTTCTATGTATAATGTCTTCAAACAGAAACATGCATAAAACAAGAATAGGTATTGATTGGTTGACAAAAATGTTGTGACGAGTGGTAGGTGTTGTGGGACACTAGGTTAAGCCCAGTGCTTTGACTCCAAATCTCAGCAATTTTGTAGGTCATAATTACCCAACCCCCACAAATAACATTTATTATTTAGAAGATCAAATTGGTAGACCTGGTGGCAAGTTAGATGAGAGTGATTAGAGGAGGGGTGTTGGGGATGACCTCCAGGTTCCTAGCTTGAATACTTGATGGATGGCAAGACAGTTACTCACAGAGGCAATTCTGAAAGAAGACTGGGTTTGGATTATGTTAGAAACAATCTTACGCCACCATTCTTCTCTTTCCTTGAGGGCCTTTGTTTCTCCTCCATGCCTTACTTTAGGTCACAAGTGATTTCTCTTACTGATGGGATACAGAAACCAGGCTGAGTCTTCAGTGACTACCCCACTCCATGACTACCCGTGGTGGTGGCTGCTTCCCCAGTTAGAGCTTCCATATCATCATAGAGTCCAGACCGAGTATGCCCAGTGCAGGCAGCTCTGGAGGCCTGCTGTTCCTTGTTCCTACTTAAGAAAGACCACAGCTGCCCATGCTCCCTGCTGTGTGAGGCTCCCTTTCTTAGCTGAGTCCCAGTGGCCAAGCTTGAACTTGTCTTCAGAAGCCTCACTCTGAACAAGACCCCAGCAGAAAGAACGGGCCATCAAGGAGGGAGGCGCCTTTCTCTGAAGGGAGGAAGGAACCTCCACTGTGATACGGCCTTGACTAAACAAGTTCAGAGTTGGTGAACTCAAGGGGCTTCCATAGCCTCGACAGCTCATGGCAAGAGCCTCGGGTGATTGCTGACATCCTAAATAGGAGTGTCAATTGTTAAATCAACAATGGGAGTCACTGGGCACAGGCTCCCCATGTAGGATCTCTGTCCTTATTGTGTTTTACTGTGAGAGTTAATGATAACACTACTAGTCGAACAGTACTCTATATCTTGTGCAGGTGTGTGAGTGCAGTCTGTTGAAATCTTTGCTTAGTATATACTAAGTTGATCTTCTGTATATAAAGATAATTGAAAATGAAACATGATGAAGAGTGGGATGGGAGAGGGAGTGGGAGATGGGATGGCTGTGGGTGGGAGGGAGGTTGAGGGGGGAAAGCCACAACAATGCAAAAGTTGCACTTTGTAAATTCAAACTTATTAAATTAAAAAAAAAGAAGAAGAAGCCTCACTCTGGCTATGGATCCAAACCGTGCCCCTTTTTGGATGTCTGTGTCTCTCCCCAGTCAGTCAGATTCCTTAAGGAAAGCACAACAGTTAGCATCTCTTAGACTCAACATGAGAAAAAAAACCTGGGCTCAGTTTTCAACTGATGGAGTTTAAGGGCATTTTACAGACCCAGGGGCCAGAGGAGATGAGAACACGAGACCTCTGTACAAGGTGACACTGATGCTCTAAGACAGGTGACCAGTGTCCCAGGGAGAGGAAAAGTCAGAAGTTGGAGATGTCTGAACAGTTGTCCTCTCATACTCCATATCCACGCACTATACTGAGCTTCAGGGAGCACTAAACCTGTCCTAGGTCCCTTCAGTCTGCTGTCCCATCTCCTCATTCCCTGGGTCACCTAAGCAGGAGACCTCCCTGCAGATCCAGTACTTTCTATCACTGAGAATTTGGAATTACAGCCTTCAAACAAGAATCGAGTGGAGCTGGCACTGAGGCATAGTAGGCTAGCCTCTGCCTGCAGCACTGGCATCCCATACAGGCATCATTGTGTGTCCCAGCTGCTCCTCTTCCAATCCAGCTCTCTGCTTATGGCCTGGGAAAGCAGTGAAGATGGCACAAGTTCTTGGGTCCCTGCACCAATGTGGGCGGCCCAGAAGAAATTTCTGACTTTGGATTGGTTCAGCACTAGCCATTGTAGCCATTGAAGAGTAAACCAGAAGATGGGAGACCTCTGTCAGTAACTCTATAGACAAATAAATAAATAAAATCTTTAAAAAAATATATGAATTTGGTCTACAATTAATTTTCAGAGAAATAAGAATAGTAGTTGGTGCTCCTCATCCCCACCTGCCCAAGACCAGCTCTCAATGGGGCAGAAATGTATCCTGTGTCCAGGCCACAGGATACACAGGACCCAAGAGACCCCATCCAGCATCAATCATTCCTCCATCTCAAGGACAATTCCTCTGTGATACTGCAATGTTAATGTTAATGTTTGGTCTTCATGCCTTGTGGGGAGCAACTCGGACTAGACTAAGTTACTGGAATTAAGACTTAATCTATGCATCTGCTCTCCCACAATATGGCGCTGAGAAGGGAGAAACAGCTTCTACACAGCTGCCTCCAGTTCAACCAATAAGCAGCAGGACCTGCTCCTGATTGGAGGAGAGCAGCGTACTCGGCGTGTGGGTAGCAGAGTTGGGATTGGCGGAAGAGGACTATAAAGGAGGAGAGAGACAACATGCACCAGGAACATCTAAGGGGAACATCTATCTGAAGGAACACCTGTGCAGCCCCCGAGAGAGCTGGCCGGCGGTGTGCCGCTCCCCCGCGGAAGTGGGGAAAGTGGCTAGGGGGAACCGCCCTTCCACGGAGGTGGAAGGGTCGGTAGCCAACCCGGGAAGAACCAGCAGCAAACCCGGGGAGGGCCGAGCAGACGAAAGAACAGCGCAGGGTCCCGTGTCGTTCCTCCACGAAGAGGGGGAGCGACAATGCCTATTTCCTGACACAGTTCCTAAAACCTCTGGAGTGGTAAGAGCGTCTCATTTGCTAAATAGATGCTTGGTAGGGACACCAAGATAGTTTCAAGGCGGGGCAGTCACCAGAAAGACCAAGGCATGATGAAAGGCTTGGCCCCTTCAGCCCTGTCCCTCACCTCCAGGGAGAGGAGACTGAGTTTAAACCCATCACTAATGTCCAGAGATTTAATCTGTTGTGCCCATGTGATGAAGCTGCCATAAAAACCCAAAAGGACTGAGGTGCTTCAGGCTGTCGAAACATGCCAAGGTTCCCGGAAGATGGCAGGCCCAGAGAGGGTGTAGGAGCTCCCAGCCCCGTCCCACTTGCCTTGCCCTAGGCATCTCTCCCAACCAGAGGTTCAAGTGTTTCCTATGTAATCTTCTTTGTAATAAGTGGGTGAACTAAAGTAAAGTGATTCCTTGAGTTCCACAAGTCACTTTAGCAAAGGAACTGATCCCTAGAAGGGCATCGTGGGAATCTTAATTTGTAACCGGTAGGTCAGAAAAACAGGTCGCAAGCTTGGCTCTGCAACTGGCAAATGAAGTAGGATTGAGCCCTCAGCCTGTGGAATGTAACACTATCTCCAGGTGGATAGCATCAGAATTGAATTAGAGGGTACCTCGCTAGTGTCCACTGGGGAATCTGCAAAGTGGATTGCTTGGTATGTGGAGAAACAACCCCCACAGATCTCATCAGGGAAGTGTTGGGAGCACAAGGGGAAAGCATCTGGAGGGCAGAGGAGGATGTTGTTCAAATCTTAGAATCACACTGGCAGGATGGAAGTAGTGACTTACAC